AACGTACTTGATTTGGTCTCTCTTTAGTCTGTATTATGATTCATTCTGCCTTTCTTAAACACCTATTTTAAGGTGAAACCACCTCTAAATGAGTTTTTGTCTCTCTGGGTAATTCAGCAGCAAGTCAAAAGTGTTCCGACTAAAACAGAGTGAGGTGAACCTGACACATCATGGCATTACAGCTACTGAGGCAAATGCAGAGCAGGGAGAAAAAAATATGCAGAATTTTATGATATTTAGCCTTAGGAGCACATTAAATACGATGCTAGCAAAGCTGAAGCATGGTCCCCACAAATAAGAACATTTAATATGCTTACTTGTCAGATGTTTTTGATCTCTTGATGATCTAGTACAAAACAAGCCTGAAAACACTTTTTGGGTTTGTTTTTGTTTTGTTTTAAATGCACACAGCACTTTGTACAAGCTTGTAAAGAATCATAATCATAGTGAAAAAACCCAGAGTTAAAGGCATTTTCCCCTCATTTCTGTCTCATTTCCAAGTATGAAGATGTTGTAGTATGATAATGCATAGAGCAAGCTCTATACAACATCCCTGAAGAGTAATTAAGACTTCAGGATAGTCAAGAACAGTGTAAGCCAAAGGTTTGTGCAATTAAAAGCAGAATTTGATCTGCAAAATGAGCAGAAGCAGCAGCAACGGATAATCAGAAACTGCTTTAGAGTTGAAAGGAGTTTCTAGAATGGATGTGTGGATTTCCACTCCCCCCACCTTGATTTTACTGTAGATCAAGACATTCAAGATTAGGTTGTATAGACAACTGACACAGAGACATCTTCTGTTAATACCTCAACAGTAATTAGTCAAGACTTAAAAGTAGAGATGACATTTGCTCAATATACACATAGGCAACAGGACTATATATTTTATAATTTAACTCTCAAGATAACTTCAGTTTCACTTAGTTCCTTCATGCCTTCAGTGGGCTTTTAAGACTAGTTCAAGCTATAAATTAGAAATTTGTAATTAATGCTAGTGTCTGAACCATTATCTGAATAAAAATTCACATAAATAATGCCTCCCAGTTTATAAGGTTTGAAGTGGTGATTCTTACCTTGGAAACAGGATAACTGAATTTTGCATAGCACTGTTTTTTAGTGACAAGATACTGTGAAGTACTAAGTCTTTCATAAGACCAGTATAATAATTTTCCTTTCCAATACTTGTACTTCTTTCTCAATCTTTTAAAATGAGTTTACTTACTGAATTTTTCCCATTTGCCTATCCTGTTAGTTCAATTACATAAAATCAAGTGAATTATATGACAAATATTGGTTGCTCAGTATTGTAGCATCTTTGGGTGGAATGCAATACTCCTCTAAGTAAGTCTACACTGTTTTTTTGTTTTGTACCACTCTCACAGACTTGCCCAAAGGGTAAACTCTTACTTTCATACCCTTTTTCCTCCCACTGTAGCAACTGAAGTCACTTAAACTATACAGTCAACACTTTTGCATAAGGCATACCACATACAGAGAACTTATTTCATATTCTGCTTAAGCTTCTGATGTTTCAAATTTACTGGAATTATTATTTTTAAAGAGGTAAGTACATACATTTTAAAGCATTTCAGGATCATCTGTGATTTTAGATGCTGTAATTGTTACTTCTTAAAATATGAGATTTAATGTGTCTTTTGCAAGCTCTGTCATTTTGAAATTCTACAGGCAACATGCTGCTTATCATTTATTTGTTCACCCAATATATCATCTATTTGATGTGTTTGCAGTCTAATTTGTTATTTAAGAATATGCACAAGGAAAAGTTTCTGCCACTTTACACAGTCACACTCTGGCTCCAGACAGAGAGTTCCCATGGTCCTTAAGGAGTTATCAGAGATAAACAAGCACTGATTACCTCCCTAACACAAGAGGGTAGTAAACTACAGAGAAAGTAACAAAAAAGAGGACTGTCTTCATACAGAAGACACATGGGGAATTGGAACTGGCAATCATTAAAAGCAATGAAACAGCTCGGAGCATTCAGGAAACAGAAAGCAAGAGCAAGATCAGGTGAGTAATCACAATCCACTGGTAAACTAGGGGCCAAGAAATAATTAGTTGGGGTTGGAGGAGAATTAAGAGCAGAAAAAAGCCAGAATAAACAGTAATACATAAATATTAAATACACAATTACATAAACAAGCTGAATATTAAATCAGTGAATTATTCTGATCTGCATAAGTCATCCAAGTTCAAAAACGCATATGGTAAATAAAAGACATCCAAACCATTACTGTGGGTTTTACGTTACTGTACTATTACCACTGAATCACAGAATCACAGAATATTGGAAGTTGGAAGGGAGCTCAAAAGATCATCCAGTCCAACCCCCTGCCAGAGCAGGATCACCTAGACCAGGTCACACAGGAACACGTCCAGGCGGGTTTTGAATGTCTCCAGAGAAGGAGACTCCACAACCTCTCTGGGCAGCCTGGTCCAGTGCTCTGTAACCCTCACAGTGAAAAAGTTTTTCCTCATGTTCAGGTTGAGCCTCCTATGCTTCAGTTTGCTCCCATTCCCCCTTGTCCTGTTATTGGCTGTCACTGAGAAGAGCCTGGCTCCTTCCTCCTGACACTCACCCTTTATAAATTTATAAACATTAATGAGGTCACCCCTCAGTCTCCTCTTCTCCAACCTAAAGAGACCCAGCTCTCTCAGCTGCTCCTCATAAGGGAGATGCTCCACTCCCTCCACCATCTTTGTGCCTCTGCACTGGATGCTGAAGACATTGAGGCAAACAATTTTTTTTCTTTTTCAACTCTAGGATAAAAATCATCAATAGATTCAACATGAAGGACAACCTTCTACCATTAGCTGGCAAGATACAATGACCTACAGTCCTCCTTCACCTTGGTATCCCAGGGGTTTTTTATTTGTTCTTTGTAAAGACCAAAGCAAAACAGAGAAACCTGCAGAACACACACAAACCAACCTTCTTGCATAACTTCTGAAGAACGCATTTGCAGTATATTAGTAGTTCCATTTGTTAGGATCAAATGAGGTGAAAGGCACCAATGCAACATTTTTTAAAAGAGAGACAGTCTGGTAGCTTATCTTAAGCAAACATACTGTCACACAGGAGAACAAACCACATATATCCGTGAGGCTGGCAAGAGGACATGCTGTGAAAAAGACTGAAAAAAATATCTAGGAAAAACTATGCAGATCCCTTTGTCCTTGTGTACCCTCTAGTGGCAGTGCAAAGGCCCCACAGCAACTCAAAAGGCCACTATCTCAAGAGGACAGAATCAGTGCTTACCTCTGCAACAGTTCTCTTAAATGAACAAAGATTTATGAGATGAGGATTCTGAGCAGGCACATCTATGGTTTACTTCAAGTATTTAACTGCCTTGTTAGCTTAATCGAATGTATCCAGGTTTTCCACTTAAAAAGTAGTAAAATATATCAAGGTATTCAGATAGCAAGCATCCAGTTTGTGTGCCAGTGTTACTGTGCCATATATGTAGACTGCATGCAAACTGCCACAACATCTGTAATTGAGTAATAGTTCTCCAGAAGGTCTCTAAGGGTGGAAACAATCTGATACACAGTTTGCAAAGACTACCTAAGAGCCACTTATATACAACACAGCAATGAACTGCTCAAGACTATTGTACAAGCATGCTTTAAACTAGAACAGGCTGTTTTGCCTGTGTGTGCTGAAGTGGATTATGTCAGGGACCAAAACTGCCATCCAGCATAAGAACACTCTGCAGGCAAACAGTTAACATTTAATTTAGTTCAGCTTAACAAACATAAAAGATTGCACAACAGACATTTAAAATAAACCCGCAAAAAGTACTCCCCACACCCAAACTCTCCAATAAATAAAAAACAGTGGTCAGTGGTCATCGAGGTATCAAGTCCTCTCCAGGATGGAAAAAAAAAAAAAAAAAGTCCTTGCTATGTTATGACTCAGCAAAAGGATATAAAGTCCATTCTATTTTGTTGATAGAACATGCATATGGCAAAACAGAATAATAACAGCATCCAAAGGGAGAATATATAGAGTAAGATTTTAGCACCTCATGTCTATTTCTTTGCATTGTCCAACTAATGATGCTAGTTATTAAACCAGTGCTAGAAGAAACACCTTGGTAAGTGCTGAAGTGTTCAGCCTTCAACAAACCACTATACAGTTTGGGTGGGAGGAAAGCACTTTTTCACAGAGAGGGTGATCAGGCATTAGAATGTACTGCCCAGGGAGGTGGTGGAGTCACCATCCCTGAAGGTATTTAAGGAAAGGCTGGATGTGGCACTTAGTGCCATGGTCTAGCCGATGTGATAGTGTTAGGTCATAGGCTGGATTTGATGATCTCAGAGGTCTTTTCCAGCCTCAATAATTCTGTGATTCTGTGAAAGTATTTCTGAGGCCTATGACTATGTTGTGCTGTATAAATGAGGTGCTTGCCTAACACAATGAAGGCAAGAGGTGAAGTAATTAGATTATATACCAACACCTACACACTAATTACAAGGAAAAAAAAATACTGTCAAAATGACATGAGATAATGCATGTTCAAGATGAAGACTTCACAAAGAACAGTGTGCACATAACAGATGTACATGTCAGAAGTAAACTGAATCCCAGGCTACACATCCCTTTTAATAAAAAGGATCTTTTAACTTCAGTAGAGCATATAGAGTGACAGAACTGTCCAGTCCTCCAGACAACTATGAAATAGTTTCCCTTCAAATACAGCAACCAAGAACTCAGCAGCAAGAGAGATGCCTCTACTCTATATATGGCAAATGCAGGTCTTTTTTTTCCTGTACCGTAGGTGTACATTAGAAAAAAGCTACATGATCAGATAGCCTAGCTCTTCTTTTATGCTATTCATCTGTATCGTTTTTATACATGTACAGTCATAAACAGAAATGCAAAAATCCTTCTCTGTGTGTTTACAGGTTGAGTTTAAGAAAGTTAGTCCCTTTTCCATTTTTGAAGACAACACCTAAACAACCGTATTGCTTGTCATTCATCCCCATGCCTGAGTTTTACAATAATGCAGTACAAGCTTCCCATCACTTCCAAAACACTGCAAGAAAACAAAACAGAACAAGAGCTGTAAGATTATTCACGGGCTAGCATATACATGAAGCAAAACAGTTGCCCTTTCCCCAATAACTGTGTCATGGAATACTGTACTGATTACAAAGCTTTCCATCATAATGAGAGGCTTGACAACATACTGCTTGTGAAGGAATAAATTTCCAGAGATTATAATGAAGTCATGTCTCTTTAAATGACAGTCATACAGATCCATGAATACAAATAGGATTACACTAAATACAACATATTACCAGCATAGCTAGAGGCAGAAACTGATTTCAAGTGCCAGAAGTGTACTAACAAATTCTGCTAAGCACATGTGGTAAGGATATTAAAGATAAAAGTCACCTCATAGAGAGTTCCAACTTCTTGGTCTGGGGATGGAGCAAAAGACTGGTTTACATATATGAACTGCAAGCAAAGAAAAGAAAGTATGGTGATCTCCCATAGATTTCACAGATCACATAGAGCAAACATTCTGCAGTCAGAGGTGGGTAAATCTGTCCTCTGACCCCCATTTATTTTATAATCTTTACAATCCACACCAAGCAAGCATGCTGATTGCCTTCTGCAAGCTGACCCATTAGTCAGCTGACCCACAGCAGCACAAAGTGAACTCACTTGTTTAATTCTTGCTCTTATTTCCAGTATGGAAATCATTCCACTGTTCCAGATTTCCTCAATTAGAACAGCAGTCACAGGAATTAAAATTATTTTGTTCTTTTTTAAAGTCATGCTTCTCACGCCCCGCTCCAAACATATATACCCATATAGTAGCTACTCCATAATGTCAAAGAGGGCCTTGGATCTGCAGTGTGAGATGGCAATGTAGGGTATCATGTGCTATTTCTAAAGAAGTGTTATAAAATTCCTATGGCTTTGCTCCTGAAGTGTAGTCTTAGGCTTAAGCCACACTGAAATTCCATACTCCTATATGTTTTTCAGGAGACAATGAGACGGCAGTTAATTAAACTGTTGAGAATATCCATGAACAGTGAATATCTGAACTATTACTCTTCTTTGAGATATTAAGCCTTGGTAAAAAGAAACTCTTCATGATTTCCAGGTGAGACAGCTAGTGAAATCAATTACACTTATATGGTTAAATAAGAGCCTCCAGACTAAGAACAGAGTGATTTTACCTACTCTTTAGCTACACATTTGACTATTTTAATAACTTTATATCTTAAATAAAAACTTTTAATGTATGGATCTTAAGAGTTTACTGCTAATCACAAAATTAGTAAAAGCATATTTCTGAATCTGTGCCAGCTCTAGCAAAGTTATCAGAAGGCCACTTGGGCTTCACAGGAAGGAACACATAATCAGTATTCATAATGTACCGCCAAACTGCAAACATTTCTTAGCTACCCATTTTAAAAGAGAAATTAATCCTATGACAACAATTAAACTGTTTGAGAAGGAAGTTTTGAAGGAGACTGACACCAGTATTCACATAGTCAACACCAAACACTTTAGACTTTCTCCCAAATGCTCCTTCTGTATACCTGACTTCTACAGTTACACTGTGCATATGAACCTTTCACTGAAATGCATCACTGCACAACATGCACACAGTTCTAGCATCAGACAAGCAGCAGCTTGTGCAAAAAGACTACAAAAAGACCAGAGGTCAGAGCTGAGCACCTGAGCACATCCAAACTGCACTGTTGTAGCTCATCTCAAGGTTACGCTGCAGTGTGTACTCTGAAG